CAGCAGGAAGATTCTCACCTTCAATGTCTTTTTTGGTTTGAAGTTCATACCTTCTGGTGTTCTCATTCTCAGATAGAGATGGATCATCTGAAGACAAAATGTCATCTTCCTCACATTCTCGTCTCCAAGATTCTCTCTTAATTTCATCTAAGTACTTCTTTTGATGCTTTTTCTTTTTTCTTTTAACTTTGTTTCTAGTATTCATAGATACCTACAGAGGTCAATAACTTGAATATAAATTACACTTCAGAAACTATAAGAGGTAGAATCTAAATCTATTTTGACATTAAATTAAACAAAATACCCTCAACCCCCCAACTTGGGTTTCAGTTACACCAACAAGTGAATCTTACTATCTACGTTTCCAAGAGGAGGAACAACCACACATGGCACACATCACAACTTGCAGTTTTCGTTAACTTATAAATATATACGTACATTTAAAAAGAGGTGAAGTGCCCTGATTCATGAATGCATTAGATTTGGGATAAAAAGATTCCACGTGATATTTTATGAAGAAAACTAAGAAACAGAAACAAGCAAAGTAGACTAATACTTGCCTCAAAATTCTTACGTGCAGACACACTGCCAAACTGAAGTGGCAGCCCCATGCTTCTCATGAGTTCAGCCTCAGAATCAAGCTCACTTTCATCTGGGCCTACGTCTTTGCTGTCCCACGACTCTGCAGCGCCCTGGGAACGACCGCCCTCGTCTTCTTCTGCAGCTTGCTCTCCTACACACAGCAGTTACTTTAGCTTAGTTTCAGAGCAAATTTAGACGCAGGTTTCATCATCCTCATCTTAAAGAAAAGGAACCTGAGACCCAAAGTTATTTCATGACTTGCACGAAGTAAAGGCATGTCAGTATGAGTTTTTAAGGGGAAGAAAAATAAAAGGAAAAAAAACGAACTGATGGAAGTATGGACTTGTGAGAACAGCCAACTAAGAACCAAGAACAAGCCCTAGTCTGGCTCTGCTGGCCGCTGTCCACCCAGCTGCTCCCTCAGCTCCCTCCACGGAGCACCTCCTCTCGCTGGGTACTGCACACAGTACTGAGGACGCACGAGGGAACACAGCAGGGCAGCCCCGGGGAAAATGTCTACATTTCCGCACTCCCCATCTGCAGCACTGCTGCACTCGATCAGTGGATTTAAAATGATGACTCGTGGCGTTATTTTAGGAGCTATTAACACGGGAGATGAGAGGTAGGTCTTCAGGCCCTCCATGGGTACTTCAGTCACGACTGGATTTACACCCTGGGACTCTTGTGGGGAAGTTCATTTAATGAAAACATTCTGCCGTTAAAAATCTGAAATCCACTGAACTGGAAGACACTTTCAAGCTCTCCGATTCTAGGTCTTAGAGAAAACCTGCTTTATCATAACAAAACAAGTTTTACTTTATCCTAATGTGGTTTCTAAAAGTAGATCATACCACTAATTGGCCAAATGCCATCCAAATGCTCTATTTTAAAATGGGAGACGAACACTTTATATATTAGCACACTCAACTAGGGCTGAGCTGCACTCCAGCTACATGATCTTAGGCAACAGAACAGGGAATCTTCCCACTGCAAAGATGGAGACTGAGAAAAAGGGATCTTAAGTGCACAAATTCTATTAAAAGAACGAGGGGAAAAAGACACCTACCTAAATAATGAAGGCAATTCCACTTGCCATTCCACTGAATGAACTTGGGAAAGCTCAGCAGAGAGCAAAGCAAGGAATATGAATCGGCTCCCCTTGGTGCTCCTCTCGTGGTGTGCATGTTTTCCTATGTTAGGTGGGACCCTAGGGTCTAGAGAAATCTTTGTACAATGTAACACTGAAATGCAACCAAACGTTTCATCCAGCGTGTAAGTGAAGACGCAGTGATTTGCTCCATCACTGTGAGAGGTGGGGGTTTTCAAGGGTAACGTGACACGCTGCTTGCGCTGATTTTAGTCTACACCTTGGGCCGCAGTTTTCCCCGTGTCCAGAGAAACATAAAAGATCTGTGTGGAAAGGACAAATGGGGCCCGGAGAGGGAAGTCTGACAGAGACCAAGATGGTAACTAGGTGAGGCTCAAAGTGCAGAACAAACTCTATTTATTATTTGGGAAAGTTAATCCAGGTTGTGGCCTCCTTACTTCAGCCAAAAGGCTGTGGCTGTTCACTTGGAGTTTGTCCTGAATGGTTTATGTATAAAACTGTTGAAGCATTTAAGCGCAGGGCGGCTCTGATACCTCGGTGGCCTCCGCGAACAAGCCAAAACCTAAGCCAGGGCCAGGGAACTCCAACCTGAGGAAACGGGGCTTAACCGCCACACACGAGCAGCCCAGAAAGCTCTCCCAAGTAAGGCAGCTGCACAAACTACGGCCAGGCAAGTGATTTCCTTGCTTTGCTCCCACCTCTCCTCTGTACAGCACCATGGTTAGTTTTAGCAAAAAAAGGGGTATGTGTCTTCATACTGTATTACCTGAACTGTTGCCATCGTCTTTAACGTAGTAGCCTTTTAATCCCAAATTGCACAATTTCCGATCTCTGTGAAGCAAATTAAACAGTCAATATTGAAAAAACTTACACTATAAATTTAGTGAAAAAACAAGCTTAAGGCAGCATAGATTAATAAAAAGGTTAAAAAACAGAAAAGCTATCTGCTAATACATTCTTCTTATCTATAATATAGAGGTAATAATACATACCTCATAGGGTTCTAATAAGGATTGATTGCATACATAAAGTATTTGGTATATATCACATGCAAAGCACGCTATAATGATAACTACTAATTTATTAAAATTAAGTGGCAGTTCTGGATATTGGGGAAAGAATCTGATCCTCCTTGTGATATACAAACAGTGAAATATTCTCTAAATTTGCTGTAGAAAGTGAGCATAAACGTGAAAAGATTTATCTTACACCTTTATAAACCCACACGCAGACCCTAGTCCATTTGCAAATAGGCCAAATTATCCACTTCCTAGTAGATAAGATATTCATGGTCTGAGCTAAGGTTGTTTTGGGGACTAACATAAAATTAATTTCTTATTTTATTAAACTGAAACATAAATCGAAATAAAACAATTCAGTCTCAGAGTTTTAAAAAGTGAATAGTTGGGCTTCCCTGGTGGCGCAGTGGTTGGGAGTCCGCCTGCTGATGCAGGGGACACGGGTTCGTGCCCCGGTCCGGGAAGATCCCACATGCCGCGGAGCGGCTGGGCCTGTGAGCCCTGCGTGTCCAGAGCCTGTGCTCCGCAACGGGAGAGGCCACAACAGTGAGAGGCCCACATACCGCAAAAAAAAAAA